TCAGAAGGGTAACATACCCTGATAATCTTGGACTAAAATGAAATGTTTTAGAAAAGGCAGATATGTAGCCATATAGACTAATCAGGAAATCTTTCCTACACAGAATCAGGAAGGCATTTAGTTTAACTGATGCATGAAGTTACAAAGCCAAGGTCAAATAACATTTTCCAGTTCTTTTCATGTGCGAATTTTACTATGGAAATGCATATGAGAACCTCTGGATCTGTTCCCAGAGTTTGCATTGTTCTAACCTCAGAATATCCTTTGACTGGGAAAATAGGCTAGATTCTGGCATGCATTCAAGGATGCATGTATTTCTAAATGATATACAGTGAAAATAGCTCATGACATAATTTTTAATCATGCACAAGGAAAGAAGTAGAACTGGACATAAAAATCACATGTTATAGTTACTAGAAACATGTCAATTTCAGATATAATATAATATTTACTGACACACAGAAATCTTTCATAATAAATGTAATTTATATAAGTAACTGTTCATTTTAAAAAGCTGCAAGTAAGTTTGGAAAAAAATACAATTCCAAAAATCTGGCCATCATTAATGTGTGTTGTACATAGATTTAAGAAAGAATCTTCTAATAGTAAATCTCTATACAGTAACTGGATTAATGGTTCCTTATGGGTATGTCCAGAGCCTTGGTGGTATAGTAGTTACTCATTGGGCTGCAATTTCAAAGGTCAGCAGTTTGAAACCACCAGCAGCAATGTGGGAGAAAGACCGGGCTTTCTACTCCCATAAACAATTGCATGGTCAGTATTTTAGTTAGCATTGACTGGGGTGACAGTGAGTTTGGATCGGTTTTAGTTTTGGAGGCATGGCAGGAGAGGTTGGGGGAAATTGGGGAGTTAATAACGATGAGTATAGGAATGAAAACAATGTCCTAAAACTGATTGTGGTGCTGATTGTACAACTCTTTTGATCTGATTGAACAACTGAATTATATGTGAATTATATGCCAATAAAGCTGCTGGAAAGAGCTAATATATATAATTCCAATTACACTCAGAATAGGAATAAAGTAGGCCAACTAATGCTGAGATTTTGGTTTATAAACATGATTCACCAATCATAAGAATCAATAAGAAGATTCTCCAATAAGAAGGACCTTGGAGAAGCAGTTGATTCTAGAGTTGACGAGGTAAAACACAAGATAAGCCAGGAGCATCTTGTGGGGCTGGAAAATAATGAATGGTTCTTATAGAATGCTGGTGCAAGTCAAAAAAGCATGCAGAGGAATCAATATGAAAGATATTCCAATGGCCAAATCTAGAAGTATTTGAACAAAATAAATTCTGTTAAAAAAAAGTAAAACAAAAATAAATAAGAGAGTTCTTTTTATAGAATTCCAAGTAATAAAGTAGATGTAATATGAGAATAGGAAGTCACCATTAGAAGAGCATAATAAGTTACTATTACAGTGAAGATTTACCAAAAGATGTTAAAATTACTGGGGAAAAGTTTGAAGAGACACAGCATATTTGTACAGTCTATTTTCCCCAAGATCCTTATAAATCGAAGAGGAAATAAGAATAGCTTTATAGGGTAGCAGCCTAGTAGATACCACTTGAACCAAATTCTCAAGGTATGATCTCCAAGGATAAGACAACAGACATCATGTAAGCCCGGAGAGATGCACTGACAAGAATCTTATTGTGAGAAAATATAAGACAAGCTCAAACTGAGACATTTTACAATATAACTTCAAAAGTCTCAAGGGCATGGAAGCTGAAAAGGGACCTCAGTGGAAAACTGGTGAAATTTTAATAAGGCCAGTAGTTTAGTTACTAGTATTGTACCAGTGTATATTTCTTGGTTTTGAAAATTACATTATGGCTATAAAAGACCCTAATATTAAAGGTATACAAGAACTCTCTGTACTATTTTTCTAACTCCTATGTAAGCCTAAAATTATTCTAAAAATTAAAAACATATACTGTATACACAAAATGATCCATTCTGACTAGTAGAAAATAATAGTAATTAAGTGACCCATTTTTCTAGAAAGAAATTTGAATTGTTTAACATGGCTAACTTTCCTAGAATGCTGAAATAAACTCTTCTTTCTAGTTAAGAAATTGTTCTTTCAAAAGACAAATCTTTACATTTCTTTACATTGCAGGGGCAGTGAATGATTTAATGTGGTTCTTCTGACTCCTACCTTTTCCTGTTTAGTTATGGGTTTAACAAGGTGGGGGTAAGATGCTGATAGGATTCACTTTAGGAACTGTGACAAGGATTCAGGGGCTTGCCATTATGCTCAGTATAAAATGCACCATCTGAAACGCAAGAGAAAGGATCTCTCTACCAGCAAGAGCCAGGAGTGAAGTGTGTCCTCTATATCCTGGGATCCCAGCACAGTGAACCTCTTAGATCTAGAAGACAACTATGACATCAAAGAAGCAGCAGTAGAACTGGAAGCCAGACCATGAAACAGAGTTGTGGACTTCCCAACTTACGTAGCAAGTGAAACTAAGTGCTTTTGCTTGTTGGGTGGGGTGCCCCTGGACACTTAATTTGAGGAGTTTGGACTTGTCCCATGGAGGTGATGTTGAGTGCCTTCAGGCTAAGGCTACTGGAGTAGGGTGTCTTTGGGCACTTGATTCAAAGAGCTGGGTTTGCTGACTCATGGAGTTTGAGCTGAAGGCCTTCCAGTTAAGGCTTACAGCTGAATGGTATATCCTTTAACATTTATTAGCCTCCCTAAAACTTTAAACCATACCCTGATGAACAACTACAATGTGTCCTGGGCACTTCTCACTTACATCACAGTCTGCTAATTTCCTTAATCAATCATTAATATTAACTGAGTTCTGTGTAGCTATTACAATGAGGATTAGAACCTACATTTAAAAAATGATAGCATCATTTGATACAACTCATATATCATGGAATTTAATATGTTTAAATACAGGCAAATAAACTAGCCAACACTGTTTATGACTAATACAGGTCTTAATTGTACAGAATTATTATCTAATTTATCTGTTTGCATGCCTCTGACTCCTGTTAGACCATGGACCACATATCTATTATAAATGTCATACCCCTAGTCTAGCACAGTTCTTCAGACACGAGGTACTCATTAATTACTAGCTTAAAAAAATGAATAAAGAAATTAAAGTAAAATATCTTATATATTTGAAAAAATATATAAAATAAACCACTGTTTTTCTTTCAAATTTCAATACTGCCAATACAGCTTTTTCTATTTTAGGTTAAATTTGCCTATATGATATAGTCACAGTTTATCAATCCTACTTTTTTCAATTTGGTTTATAATTTATGGCATTACTATGATTTTAAAAATAATTTGTTTCATTCAAATATATATTTCAATGTCTTTCAACTCTTTATTA